CAATGGGCTAAAATATTTCCCAGCATATCAGTTTATAACATTTGGTCAAATATACAGTTCAAATTTAATCATCAACAAGCCAACAATACAGATTTTCTATTAAGGCACAGAAGGATTTTTACGGGCGTCATCCTGCACCAAATAAACAAGAAGAAGTATGGCAGAGACTGTACAGTTTGTCTTTCAGACCCCGAGACATTAGAGCACCTGTTCCTTCGCTGTCCCGGCTGCACCCCCTTCTGGAACAAGATCCACCATATCATCACCAGCATTTCTTCAATAAACAACAACAACTGGGATTCTATCAGACTCTTTGGCTTTACATCTTCTTTTGGACACTTAACAAGGACTAAATACAATCTCTGCAATATTATTTTATCCCTGGCAAGGCACATCATCTACACTGCAAGGAATCATCAGTTGTATGAAAATAAGAAGGTGGATCGGTGGAAGTTGTTTTCAGGACTATTGCACAATCATCTCAAGACAATCAACAGCGTCAATGAGTTTTGCGAAGAGATGTTTGAACCTCTTCAAAAATGTGCATATTTTCAAGAATGGACTTTTTGAACCTTTGTTACTCATTTGTTTACTTTTTATTTTATTTGTTCATAAATTTAAGTATGTTGGGTTTAAATTAAAAAATTACATATATTGTAAATTATTGCAATTCAATATAAGTTTATTGTTTTAATTCAAAAGAATTAAGGTCGAATGATTGACTTTTCTTTTTCACATTAATGTTTGCAATCTGTTTTACTTTTTGCAATTATTTTTGTTTCTTATATTCTTTTTTGTCCACTGTAAATAATTGCACTTAAAGTTATTTTGCTTTTTCACATTAGTATTTATAATCTCTTATTTTTTAGTAATTAAAAGTTGTTTGTTTTTCTTTTTCATATTTTGTACACTGTAAATAATTGCTTATTATTTTTGAATTTTTCATAAATAAAAGATAAAAAAAAAAAACGCCTGATCTCGGAAGCTAAGCAGGGTCGGGCCTGGTTAGTACTTGGATGGGAGACCGCCTGGGAATACCAGGTGCTGTAAGCCTTTTTGTGCAGCAGAGGGTGCTGCTGCTCCCTTTGGGCTACGCGTCCCTCAATGTTTTGCCCCCACATAGAAGCACTGCGAAGCCGACATGCATTAATTCTTCAGGCCAAACAGAAAGCAAGCGCCAGCTGGCTGATCTGCTGTACAAAACGCTGGAGCTGACGCTGCTTTGCGGCTTACGGCCACACTACCTTGAGAACGCCCACGCTGGTGTCAAGTTTGCAGGAAGGCACAGCGGTGGGAGCACCGTCTTTTGGATTTTTGATTCCAATTCCCCCATTTTTGCTCTTTTTCTCGTGTGGATTTCCCTCCCCACAGGGTTCTACTCTTGGGGAGTGGTTTTTAGTTTCTCTTTTTTTGTCATGGAGTTTTCAAAAGACAAACGGACGGATCCCTCAGTTATGGATAATTTGGAAAGGAACAGGAATACGAGCATGGAACAAGTGAAGACGTTAGGAGTATTTGAAAAAGATAATACGGTTCAGCTTGAAGTTGTCGGGGAGGAGAATATTTCGGTGCTGGATTTAATGAAAAACACGGTTTTTGTGTGGAGGTCTGCTAGCATGTCGATTGCTAACGGACAGGAAATTTGAAATCACGTTAATCAACGAAAAAGCAAAAAAGAGACTTTTAGACGGTTTTAAGATTGGATCATCCACAATACATGTCAAGGAACTTATTAACGATGAACTGGTGGTTTCTTTTTTGACGTTGCCTGCCTACATCACGGATGAAGAAATATTAAGCAAGCTACATACTTGGGGAGTCAAAGCGGTATCGGTAATCAAGCGTCGGGTGTGGCCTGGAACCAAGATCGCCGATGGAACACGGTTTGTAAAAGTTAAATTTACTGAAACTGTACAGTCTCTGCCTTATTCTTTTAGATTTAACACAGCTCTTGGTCCGGAATATTTCAGAGTAATCCATGATAGACAGGTTAGAGTTTGTAGGATATGTTTACAACTAGGCCACATCGTCAGGGACTGTCCTGATTTTTGCTGCCACTCCTGCGGAGTCCAGGGGCATTATGCGAGAGAATGCTCGGAAAAAAACGGGAAAAGAATGTCAGATCTGTCATAATCAATTAAATAACTGTATTTGCAATCTAAGCGATTCAGATGATCAAGATCAGGGTCTGACAATGAATCGGGAAGAAGCCGATACGCAAAGCGCAGAGAGTGAAATGGAGGGGGAAGAGTATGAGCAAGGGGAGGGAGGTGAGGAGGAGCAAAGCGAAGGCATTTTAGGCGCTGAACAGCCTGTCGTTGGTATGCCGTGCACGGAGGTGACCGGTGTGCTGGCGAAGTGGACGCGGAGTGCGCCGTGCACGGAGGTGTCTGGTGCGCTGGCCGTGGGCGAAGTAACTGAAACCAGTAAAAGCACGGCCGAGGAGGAGGGGGGAGAAGTCGCTGCTCCTCTTTTCCCCGTGATGGAAGGGAATTCGCAATTTCTGTCATCAAATCACCTGCCATCCTTTCAAACCCCGGTAAGCGCTTTGTCGCAGAGGCTCAGAATAGTGGAAGATCCGGAGTCAGACCCTGATCTTGATCTAACAAAAATTATAAACACAAGGAAAAGATTAGCAACATTGGCAACAAAACCCAAACGAAAAACTAAGAAATGATTATGACAACACTTCTCCATTTAAACATTCATGCTGCTTCTCTCGCTTAATGCCCGTGGGCTCTGCAGGGAAGAAAAGGTAAACGCTGTCATTTTTCAGTCGCACTGTGATATTCTCTGTTTACAAGAAACAAAGTGGGATATTTTAAAAGAAAAAGAGATGTCACAGAAATGGAAAGGGAAAATGTTTTCAGCCATATCAAGTACTCAGGCGGGTGGAGTTGCTATTTTCGTAAGGGAGGGTCTGTTTAATAATTGTCATTTAGTTCACAGGGATCAGCAGGGCAAATTCATCATAATAGATTTCTTTTACAATAACATATCATGCAGGTTAATTAACATTCATGCACCAAACAGACACACAGGAAAAGGTTTTTTCTAGGTTTAAGACAATGGTTAGTCAATAATTGTATCATATTAGGAGACTTCAATATAACACTCAAAATCTGACATTTCAAACAACTTGTTAGTTTGCGACCAAAGAAAAACCACTCCTTAAGCAGATTGATATGAAAGGTCTGCTTTGAATTTCTTCTCTCAGGCATCTCAATCTCATAGGTGGTAGCACTTAGCTTCTTCACAACAGTATATGGCCCCTGCCATTTTGCTAAAAGTTTATTGTCAGATGTTGGAAGTAGTAAAAGAACCTTCTGACCTGGTTTGAAGGATCTGCATCTGGCCGTTTTGTCATACCAGGTCTGTTGCTGCTGTTGAACCTTCTCCAGGTGCCTTCTGACGAGGCTGGTTGTCTCCTCCATCTTCTGTCTCATATTCAGAACGTAGTTGATGACATTGGTTGACTGATCCTTCTTGCCAACCCAGGACTCTTGAAGGACATCCAGAGGGCCCCTCAGCTGCCTGCCATAAAGAAGTTCAAATGGCGAAAAGCCAGTGGACGCCTGCGGAACTTCCCGATAAGCAAACAGAAGATAGGGTAGCCACTTATCCCAGTCTTTGCCATTGACAGAGATAAACTTCTTCAACATACTCTTTAATGTCCGGTTGTACCTTTCTACCAACCCATCAGTCTGTGGGTGGTAGGGGGTGGTCCGTATACCCTTTATGCCCAACAATCTGTAGACCTGCTTAAGATTGTTTGACAAAAAGTTAGTACCCTGGTCAGTAAGTACTTCTGATGGAATCCCCACCCTAGAGAACAACTGGAGTAAAGCAAAGGCTATCCGTTTAGCTGTTATGTCCGTAAGGGGGAAAGCCTGTGGATAGCGAGTGCTATAGTCGCATACAACCAGAATAAACCAATTTCCTGCTTGAGTTCATTCCAGTGGTCCCACAATGTCCATACCTATTCTGCTGAAAGGAACATCAATAATAGGTAATGACTGCAGTGGGTACTTTGGGACATTCTTTCCCCCTGACAGCTGACACACTGCACATGATTGGCAGTACTCTTTTACGTGATTATAAAGACCTGGCCAATAAAACCTGGCATAAATCCTGTCATAGGTCTTTTTAAAACCCAAATGTCCTGCCCAGGGTGCCCCATGACCCAAATTTAGCACCTGTTCCCTTAGACTTTGTGGAACCACAAGTTTCTGAGATCCTGTTTTTCCCTCATTGAGGTAAAGCAACCCATTTCTAAGGATATAATATCCCCCATCAGGCTGTTTACCAATTTCTCCCACAGTGAAAGGAGTTGCTTGATCAAAGAGACCCTTCAGCGATTCATCAGACTGTTGTAATCTCTTGAAGTCTCAACTTGTGAGCCCACAATGTCCCCCTCAAGATCTGGCAATCCCAAAGATGTTTGTCTAACTGTGCCTGCCATTTTCTGAAGCCGCCTTTGTTGTTTGCTTTTCCTCACTTTAACCACACTCAAAAGGAAAATCAAAATTAAAGGGCAGTTCTTGCCGATAATTCAGTTTGACAGTAGTTTCAGAGTTTATTTGCTGGCCTGTCTCCACAGTCTCAGGTAGAGGTTCAGAATCATCACCCCCAGCTAATTGTTTAGCTTGTGTTTGTGATCGGGTTACAACATACTCCGGCTTACAGGCCTGGATCAGTTCTGGCAAGACTGGAATATCCTGACCCAAAATAACTTTATGGGCAAGACCTTCAACTACACCTACACTTAAGAGATAAGTTTGGTTTGCCACTTCTAGATAGATTGCAGCAGTGGGGTAAGTTTTATGATCACCATGCACACAGGAAATATCAAGGCCTGGGCCCTGTAGATAGCATTGATTTTTCAAAATAGAAGGATGGACTAAGGTCTGTGCGCTTCCTGTATCTAAAAGAGCAATGGCTGGTTTTCCATTTACTCTAACCTCCATAACTCGTTTCTTACCCTGAAATTGGTCTTCTGCGGACAATGACCTTGGTACAGTGCAAAAATATGCCGATTTGGCTTTTCTCAATGGACCTTCTGGTTTTATATGACCCTCTTGACCACAGAAATAGCAGACAACAGATTTTGTTTCCGACTTAAGCTTGGATGAGAACATTTTCCCCCTTTGCTTCTCTACCCCTGTCATCTGACCTGGACCACCACCCAAACCAAACCCCACAGACTTACCCTGCATTAAGCTGGACTTCTGTTGCAGGCTGTATCGGAAGGTTTTTGGTCCCCGTCTTGCAGCCAGGAAGTTTTCAACAAGTTCTGCTGCTTCTTGTGTCGATGCTGGGCTCCTCTCTTTGACCCACACTCTCAGCTCTGGTGACAGAGAACTGTAGAACTGTTCCAGGATGAGAATTTCCCCAATCTCATCCTTTCTTCTCCTCTGAGGCTGTATCCACTTCAGGTAAAGGTCTTTCAGATGGTTGTAGAACTCTCGAGGGGTTTCATTCACACGGACCTCTGGATCTCTAAATCGTTGTCGGTATACTTCATTAATTTCATACTTTGTCAAGATGGCTGCTTTTACTTCACCATAGTCACAGGAATCCTCTGCAGCCATGGCCATATACGCTGTTCAGGCTCTGCCGGTGAGATGAGGTACCAACCTTACTGTCCAGTCCCTCTCGGGCCACTGGTGTGCCGTTGCTAACCTTTCAAAGGTTGTCAGGTACTGTTCAATGTCCTCTCCTTCCTCAAACTTTGGAATATCAGATTGAGTCCAGGCTCTTTGTTTTGGCTCACCCCTCGATTGATGCCGAGAAGCTGTCTTTACATCATCTTCTGAAGAGGGGCTAGAATGAGAACAAGCTTCAGTTTTCTGCTTCTTCTCCAAATCATCTCTCAGATTGTTAACTTCAGCCTGTATCTGGTGCCATCTTCTTTCTTGCTTACATCCTTCTTTGTCCCATC